GCTCCAGGAGGGAGGCACCTCGTACTGCTTCTTTGCAATCCCAGGATGCCACAGGATGGGGCTTTGCCTGTTGACATGTGTCAAAGGATGAACTTTCCACCGTTCACACTACTTCTGTGCCCACCACACGGTCATTCTGTGCCCTCAGTGTCCTCCTCAGGCCCCTCATGGTTGCCTCCAGAATCACACAATGGGTATTTGATCAGCTGTCACACCAGCTATGGACCTTGGACAAGTCCCTTCCTCCTTCTGGGTCTGTTTCCTCATTTGTAAAACAGAACAACAACAATAACTGCCTCGGAGGGTTGTTGTGAGGATTAAGTTATGTCCAGCAATGTTTGGCAAAAAGGAAGATCTCAGTAAATGTTGTCCTTGGCATCACCATTTGGTTTTTAGCTCTGCCATTGTCAAACAGCTGCATGGGACCTGTGATCCAGGTCTCTTAGACCACGCATGTCTTGGAATTTGCATATGACACACCGATTCGAGAAATGCAGATCAAAGGTGATCTGGGTTCTACAAATGAGGAAGTAGGGCAATCTCACCCATTTGGGATGACAAGTCATTCATACTGCATGGAACTTCTTTGGATCGTCAAATAGCCTATCACTCAGGGTCCTTTCTACTCTGGTCCCCACTCTGAGAAACGGGGCTCCATTTGGGAGGATGGGATAAGAAGCTTCTAGTAGCGTGGCTTGGGAAACCACCTTTGTAGAGGGGCTAAAAGGAGGAACCTTCTCAGAAGTCCCGATTCTTAAATAGGCCACATGGGTTAGTAGGAGAAGCATGGGCTCAAGACCTGGCTGAATCACTCACTAGTTGTGTAGCCTTGGACAAATTCCTTTACCTTTCTGAACCTCTGTTTCATCATCTCTCAAATGGAAATTTTGCTATTTGTCACCTAAGCTGACATTGTTTAGCAACTGAAATGGAAACCAAACTTGAAGCTCTGGCCACCTGCACTGAGAACTGAGATTAACTGGAGCAAAGGGCTGATGAGGTGGAGGAGCCAAGGCCAGAGGAATTTATGGCAGTCCAGGGTTTATGGTTTTGATATGGATTTATTAAGCACAATTTAGGACTGAAATAGTCTCCTCTGGCCCCCACCCCCCATGTCCATGCTGGCAGCGGCATGGGCAAGGCCTCCAGTTGCAACATAATGGAAAACATTTCCTGGTGCTGATGAGCGGGGAAAGGGAGGGGAAGGCGGGAGGGGCCCCCGTGATGAGGCAACAGCTCATGGGTGCTCTCGGGCCGGAGAAGTTAACCGTTAGCCTCTCACTCAGAAGGGGCTGCTTGAAGAGTCCACTTGCCCTGCTCATGTAACGGTAGCTCTTACGGTTACTATTATCTCACTCAATTGATCCTGACAACACCCCTTGAAGGAGATATCATTCCCATTTCACAGATGAGGCTAGGAGAGTTGGAGTGACCTGCCTAAGGTTACACTGATCACCAAGATGTGTGACTTCCAGACCACAGCTGTTGTCCCCACCCTTTGGGAAGAGCTGAAAGGGTCACCTTACTCTGCCCTCATACCTGAGTGCCACCATACTGAGGCTCCCTACAATCCAGCCCTCAGTGAACGCTGTGGTGTGCTGGTGAATGTTTAACAACTGGCTCTCCAGGAAAAAAAAAAAGCCCTAATGTATATGGTTTGCCAATTCTTGTGGTGTAAATGCTCTCACTGTGGCCAATATCAGGTTGTCAATATGACATCACTGAACACAGAGTCAGGAAGAGAAGCTAACAACTTACTCTCACAGGCTGGCTCCAGCATGTGAGGCTGTGGTCTGGGGTGCCCAAGACAAAAGGCCATCTACCTTGTTTAAAAGGGAAAAGGACTAAAGTGGCAACAGACGTGGCTGGAGATTCTCAAGAGCATCCCTTGCTTTTATTACTATTTAAAACAACACTCTTATGAAATTTCCCCATGTCTATTCATCTCTCCTATTGCTGGCAGGTTGAAGTGACCCAGAAAAGGGCCCCATCTTGGACCCTGATGATAGATGACAGACCCTAGGCCCTCTTGTCATTCTTTCAGATATTTCCATCACTGTCTCCCTCATCCCTCCCCTGTTCAGGAAGGAGGATCAACTTTCACTCTTTCCACGCACTGAGTACTTGGGGTCAAGGAACCAGAGCTAGATTCCACCTCTGCCTCTCAAGGAAAATCACTTCCTCTGAGCCTCAGTTTCCTTATCTATAAAGTGGGAGTTAGTCATATTGTGTAACCTGCTTATCTTTTTTTTTTCCTTTTTTGTCTTTTTTCGTGTCCGGCAACGGATCACAACCCTCAGTGTCGTGCCCGTACTGGACCGGGACCGGCAACGGGATCGCAACCCTCGGTGCTGCGCCCGCACCCCACTCAGCCAGTGAGCGGGAACCGGTCTGCATGTGGTATCCGAACCCTCGGCGGGAGCGCCACCGCGCTCCCACGCGGCGCACTGTAGCAGTGTGCCACCGGGCCGGCCCCGAACCTGCTTATCTTGATGTGAAGACTAAAAAATACTAATGGATAATGGAAGCATTTTGTACACTGTAAAGAACTCTAAAACTATCCTCATTCTTATTTCTAACACCCGAAAGGAAGAAAAGACACTCATCCAGGGATATAGAAAACATATGCGCCATTTATTTTGTTTTATAAACTTTTGTCAAAACACACAAGAGTAAGAAATGTTTTTTTGCTTCTTTGCCACATGGGGCGGCAGTGACGGGGGTGCAGGGGTCTGCATAGGACCTAATGACATTCACACCCACAAGAAGATGCGGATCTGTCTGATGGGTCCCAGCCCACTTTTGGAATTGCTTGATGTGAATTTCACAATTCATCTTAATCAGGGCAGATCAGAAAAATTCGGCAAAAGTAATTGGCTTGGTCATCACAAGAAAGCAAAGAGCATCCATTTCTGACCCTCTGCTCTCCTCTGTCACTCTTGGGAGAGCCATGTGAATTCTGGAAGCTCCTAAGAGCTGCCAGAAGAAGAGGGTGTCTTGGTGGAGGATGTATGGTGCTCACACTTGCCCACCAAAAACCCTTTTTTAATCCATAAGATTTTATGTTTTAGGACCACAACTCAGGTAGTGTACACACACACACACACACACACACACACACACGCATGCACACACGCACACACGCACACACACACACGCACACACACACACACAGAATTTCCAGTGTGGTGTCCTCAGCTTAGAATCAGAAAAGTAAACTTTTCATTGTTTTCTGTTTCCCATATTGCAATAAAGTTATTAAAGTAGGATGGATTTCTCCTCCAGAAAGGGTGTGTTTGGGGTTGAGGATCTATCCCCTGCCCCAGAAGACTGCTACCACTAAAGGCCACTGTTACCCCACTCCACTGCATGGGAAATTCTTACCTTAACTTTGTTCCCATGACACATGCCTGGGCAACACTGGGGGGTGGAGGAAGCAAAACTGGGAACAACCGCAAAGACCAGAATGATTCCAGCTTCCCTGCTTGCCGCAGACCAGTCTGAGCCATCTAGCTGGGATTTCTGAGGCACTGGAGTGAGGGTGGCTGAGGAAGGCTGAGCGATCTGAGCAGGGAGCAATCTCTCCTGGGATTGGAAACGTGGCTTGGTGGGGGTGGGGAAGACCAGGCTGACAGCCCTGGGGATGCGGAGGATTCTCTTGGATGTACTGGCCCCAGTACAGCTCTATGCCTCTTCAGCAGAAAGGAACCATCAGTAATGGGAGAATTTCTGGGCACTGAGGTACTGCCCCCCCAACTCAGAAGGACCAGGCTTGGGTGGAGGGTAGGTAGTCAGTCTAATCCCCTGCCTATTCTCACCTCCAGCCCCAGGACACATCCCTTTTATTCCTACTGGCATTTTCCATAATCTAACCCGAGCCGCCAAGATTCTGCATGGGTGAGGTGCTGGCTGCTACCTCTTGGGGTTTAATGTTTCCAGGATGCATCTTGAGTGACGCTCCCTAGAGCAGATCTCAAATTCAGGCCTTCTTACACCTCTCTTCCCCTCATTGAAACTGGCCCACCCTAGGGTTGGCCAGTTGGCTTAGTTGGTTAGAGCGTGGTATCACGACACCAAGGTCTAAGGGTTCAGATCCCCATACTGGCCAGCTGCCAAACTGTCCCCCCACCCCCCCGACTGCCAGGCCAGATCAGTCTGTCTCACAAAAACCAGACCCCTGCCACCCCTCCCCTTGACTTGGGGAGTGAAGAGAGAAAAGGTGTCAGGAGTCATGAATTCTCCTTAATTTTTATCAGCAAACACAGTCCTAGACCCTAATGGCTTTTAGTGCAGCCTCAGGCCAATCTTAGTCCTGGGAGTGGGCAGGGCTCCTGGGAAGAATGAACCTTTGGTTTCTGAGGCTGGTGAAGGGGGAAGGAAGTCCCTCAACTCCATCACAGTGAGGACAGAGGGTCCCTTTCAGAGAAGATGTTCAGCTCCTGTGGTGAAGAGCTCCTGTTCTGCTCCTGGCAGACCTGGGTTCAAGTCCTGACCCGGCCACTGACTAGCTATGTGAGTTTCAGAAAAAATCATGTCACTTAAAACTCAATTTCATCTTCTGTAACAATCTCTTGGTAATAGAGAGGATAAAATGAGATGATGCGTATCAAATGCCTTAAGACAGTTCCTGGGAGTAAGAAAGAGCTGCAGACAGATCCTGGGGGATAATTCCTCCTGAGTATCACTGTGACCTGAGGATCTGCTTGTCCCTTCCTCTCCATGCCCAAGCCTCCTCACTTTCCCTCATCTAACCTCCTTTCCCCCTCCCACCTCTGTAGCTGTCCAACCTCTGCAGGATTGCTGTGTCCATCCTCTGAAAGCCCAGCTCCCTGCATGGCCCTCTGCAGCTCCTCTGGCATTTAGGCCCCACGCTCTCCAGAGAGCCCAGTCTCTCCATCACCTCTCACTCATCATTCTTCCTAACTCCAGGCCTTTGCCTCAGCTGTTCTCCCTTGCAATGTCCTGTCTCACCTGCTCCACCAGCCAGAATCCTACCCTTCCTCAAAAGCTTAGTGCAGTCTGCCTCTTTCCAGATGCTTTCTCTGCCCACTCCAGCACCCCTCCAAGTTCCTGCTGCAGTTGTCAATCTTGGATTGTTCTCTCATTGTTGGAAGCTTATAGGGACCATCACTCCAAATGCCCACCCAAGTCCCTGGAGAAGGAAGTGTGGTGGTGTTGGGGGAACAATGTCTTCCTTCTCAACAGTCTCCTGCATTCTGCCTTGCCCCAGTCAGCACTTACAAAATGTTCCCAGGAGGACTGGGGAATGGTTTCCAGGTCTTCCTCAGCCTCTAGAGAAGTGGCTTGGGAGAAGATGGGATGGCCAAGGAAGGTGACAGTGGAGGCTGGAGAAAGGCATTTGAGGTTTGGGCAGCAGAAGAGGGAGGAGTAAGGTGCTCCCATCTGACCCAGCCTCCCAGGGCTCTGTGTCTGGATACCATGACCAGCACAAGGAGAGAAGTCCCAGTCTGGGGGAGAAAGGAGCTGTGTTTAAGCAAGGTCCCAGATCATCTCCAGACAGCCGTCTTTCAGAGGTGGAGAGTTGGGGTTACATATGAATGAAGGTGAAGGCAGTGGCTTCAACATGAGAAAAGTTGTCCAAGGCAGCAGAGGACTTTCCAGCTGGGGTCTCCCCAAGTCAAAGCCCCATCATCCAGAGCAGGGAGTCGAGGGTGACAGTGGGATGTGTTCCTCAGCCCACGTTCTTGGGCCCTTTGGCCTTTCTATTACTGCTCTGGGACTGGCCCTGTTGTCACGCCTTCCTTTACTGTGACCAAGTGATCACTAGGCGCTCTCTGAGGGGGATGGGGGGAGCCAGCAGAGCCCCCGACCCCCAGCGGCTTGCTAGATGACTTCCTGCTTGGTGATGGTTGGCTGGGGGATGGCAGAGGGGGGCTTGACGATTGTGGCGATGGCTCCTGGCAGGAGCTTGTAGGGCTCAGACCCTGAGCCACCTGGTGGTGAGGGCTGTGGAGTCTCAGGGGTGGCTGGAGGGACAAAGAGAGAGATAAAGGCTACTCGAAATTCCAGCCTTTGGGGGAGTAAATGAAGAGCTCTGGGAAAGTTCTTCCCCCTCTCTGAGATTTTGTTTCCTCTTCTGTAAAATGAGAGCAATAAACTAGATAGTCCCTAAGGTCTCTTATGGCTCAAACCTTCTGTGAGTCCCAGATCATAAAGTCTAAGTTCTATGAGGTGTGGAAAGTCCTACCACTCATCTCCTCCACCATTTGATATGAAGGCTTGGGCTGCTTCTCCCAAACCAGGGCCCAGGTCTGACCCTTCCCAAAGGCAATGGGACATGTGACAGGGGTACTCTTTCCTGGAAGAAGCAGCAGCAGTTGATGAGACCCAAGGCTAACTGGCTCCAAAAATACCATTTCTTCAATATTTAGGAGATGAGTACAGAAACTAATTTGCTGTACCCCAATCACAGGTTCAGAGAATAACTTTGACCCAATTGGCCAACTTCATTCAATGGACAATTTTTTCAAAGGACAATTTCAATGAAATGTCATCTCATATCAGTGAACCACCTTATTCCATTGATAATCTTACTCTTTGAATAGCTTTGCCCAATGACAAACTCATTCTTTGGAGATTTCACCCCAGAGGATGGTCTAACCCAGTGGACATTCTTACCCAGTGGATAGTTTCATGCAATTGCCTAATGGATAGCCTTATCCAATCAGGCAGCCTTACTTCAATGAACACTTTTGCCTATGAACAATGTCACCTAATGGAATTCTCACCCAGGGGACACCCTCACCCAATGGCATACCTTATCACAAAGACAGCAGTAGAGGCTGTAAAACACCTCACTGAATAAACAGCCTCACTGAATAAATGACCTTAACAAATGGACAGCCTCACCCCTCATTTCCTACCCTGGAGCACAGAGAACTGTTGTGTTCCGGTTCTACTATCTATACTCAGTCTTCTCCTGCCTCCTCTCTTAGGCCCCATCGTCACCCCTTGCAGGGTAGAGCCCAGGTTGCCCACCTGCCTGCCCTCTGGGTCGGGGCCACTCACACATCTGTCCATTGCTGAGGTGAGTGGGCATCGTGTTGGCGACGATGACGTTGGTGCCCATGTGTTCCTGCATCAGGTGAGGGTGCAGGGGATGGTGGGCATGGGGTGCATCGCTGGAGGACCCTGCAAGTAGAGAGGGGACTAATCAGGACAAAGAGTCTGGGATAAGGACTGCAGGCCTTGAGGCACCATCTTGATCAGGTGTGGCCAATCAGCCTACCCATCCAACACTGATGTGCTTAGTGGGGACCTTCCTTGGTTAGTAAAGGGCTTCCCATTCCTATTCATAGGTTTCATGAAGGTACTGAAAGGACAAAATAAGCAAGAGAACAAAAGCGATGTGAAAGAAACAAGGAGCATAGAAGGAAGCTCAGAGATCATTTAAATATTGTAATGGGTAATATGTTGGTTGCATAATAATTTAATGGATCTAATCAATGGCTCTTGAAGCTCCTCGGCATGCAAATCCTTCAACCATTTGATTCCAACTCAATTTTCAGCCTCTTTCCCATATCTCTGCTTCAGCCAAGCTGACCTACTTGGAGCATCTCTGTGTCCTCTGACTTTTTCTGTCTCTATGCTTTTGCTCACATTGTTGCTTCCATCAGAGATGCCTTCTCCACCCCTATGTCCATACGTCCAAATCCCAGGTCAGATGTTTTCTCCTTTTGGCAGTTGTCCTGATTCTCCCCACTCTTCTTTGCTTGGAATTCTCACAGTAATTCATCTATAACCCAACTTTTTGGAACAATCACTTCTTCTGTCTATAAGCATTTCAATTACAGGTATATTTTTCTTCTTTCCTTGAGGGTCTAGTAAAAGTGTCTGGAACACAGTAACAGCGTCAAAAAATGTGTCAGGGAGTGACACCATAGTGGGTGTGCTTTAGTAATAGGCCATGGTCAGTAACATGACAAAAGTGGAATTTTAAGGTTGCACGAGGCCTCTCTAAAGAACATCTGTTCCAATGATAACTAACAATTACCAAGCACCTATTATATGCCAGGTACTGTTTTATAGCACTTTCCATATTTTACAGAATTGAATCTTCACAACAATCCTATAGGGTGGAATACCATTATTATCTTGATCTACAGATGAGATAACAGGACCTAGAAAGATTATCTTACCCACGTTTATTTGGCAACAGAACATAAGCTTCTGATCCTGATCTCAGCGATGCCATATTCACAGGGTCAAAGTAAGAATGAAATATGCTACCATATGACAGCAGTTCTCAACGGGGGATAAGCAAAGAATTATCTAGTCTCAAATATCAATAGTGCTGAGGTTGAGAAACCTTGCCCACAGCCACGTCATCATCAGTGACTGCGTCACCTCCAAAATCTTGAGTTCAAGCATCCCCGCTTTGATTTTGCCTCCTATCTTTCCAGCTCAACAAATCTAGTACCATCATTGCAAGAATTCGTCAATCCTACTGAGGCTGTCAATTCACTGACACCCATGTTTTACTATCTGTCACCCCACCTTTATTTCTCTTTGAGTCCAGCCAAGATTCCATGATCCATCATTACAGTCGCCCCCTCGCAGTCATCCTCAGCTCCCAGGCAGCTCCCTTCACGGTCCGACATTCTCAAGGGTTGTCCACTCTATCTCCCTTCTTCACTTCTGCACTCCCTCACCCTGTAACATCCTGCAAGCTGGTTTCCATTCTCCTTGGCCTCGGACACTGCTCAGCACAATTGCCAGGAGCCTGCGTGTTGCCAGTCCAAGGGACACCTCCCTTCCTCCCTCTTTCTCTCTCTGTCCTCTTGAAAACACACTCTTCTCTTGGATTCTGGAATTGCCCTGGTTTTCTCCTATCTCCCTGGCTAGTCTTCCTCTGTTCCTTCCATGACACCCCCTCTCCTGCTGACTCCTAAATACCAGACTCATACATTCAGTGGCCTCGATAACTCAACTCGGATATCTAATTGTCGTCACATGCGTAACCACAGTCCAAAGTGGATCTCTGGGGTCACTCCTCACCACCACGCCCCTACCCAGCCCCAAGCTGTTTTTTCTCGGTCTTCCCCATCTCAGTAGATTACTCCACCAGCATTTCTGCTACTCAAAGCAAAAATGTAGACTTTGTCCTTGATTCTTCTTTCCTTCACACCCCACATCTGATCAGCAAATCCTGTAAGTTCTTCCTCCAAACAGATACTAGAGTTTATCTACACTGCTGTACTTCCATGGTCCAAGCCTCCATCATCCTTCACATGATTGGAGATGTAACATCCTCACGGGTCCTTTGCCTTCATTTGCCAACCCCCAAAATCCACTCTCTATCCAACAATCAGAGCAGTTGTCGAAAACATTAGTCTGATTTTCACTCTCCTTACAATATCTGCAATGAGAATATAATCCAAATTTCTGACCATGGCCTACAAAGCCATATGTTTATGATTTCGTTTCTGCCCAAGCTCAACCTTCATCACTTACAACTCCTCATCTCACAACCTTGTCCTTCTCTCTCAAACACACAAACCTCTCCTGCCTCAGCGCCTTGAACTAGCTACTTCTGCTTGGAACGTTCTTCTCCTGGATTTTAAATCCTCTGCTTGCTTTCATCCATCAGGTCTTAGCATAAGAGTCACCACTGGCCTCACTTGGCCAATCTATCTTCAGTTAAACTCTATCACATTACCTGTTTATTTCAAAATCTGTAGTTATCTTCTTTATTTATATACTTGGTTACTGTCTGTTCCCATGAGCCTTTATACATGCATGCATGTGCATGCACATGTGCACACACACACACACACACGCCCTCCAGGAGGGCAAAGATCTTGTTCTTTGCTGAATCTCCAGCACTTAGAACAGTGACTGGCACACACTAGGCTCTCAGTGCCTACACAATTTTCTGGTGAGGAAACTGAAGCATAGGCATGTTAAGGGACCTGCCCAGAGCCACACAGTGAGGAAGTAACGGGCTGAGAGTTGAGCTCAGGTCTGTGTGAGGCTTCTTTCCTGGAGGGTTTCCCCACCCCGCCCCTCCTGGGCCTGATACAGACCTCCCAGCAGCATCTCCTGCAGCAGGTTGTCAATCTTGGCCATGCCAAAGAGCTTGATGAACTGGATCTGCTCGATCATCTGCCAGGTGATGCTCTGCAGGGTGGGCAGCAGCAGCAGCAGCTCGCCAAAGCGGCCACGTGAGTCATACTGGCGGTCATTGATGTAGTCCTCCAGGCTCACCTGCACCTGGGACCGCAGCCGCTTGATCTTGCTCGGGTCGCTCAGCCCCTTGGCATCTGCAATGGGAGGGGGCGAGCAATGGAGGGCAGCGGGGCCCAGCTGGAGCATCTGGGGAATCAGGACCCAGATATCTCCTGACATGGGGGGACCAGAGGGAGGCCTAGTGACCCAAAGTCACATAGGGAGTCTTCAGCAGTGCTGGGACAAAGATTCAAGGTCCTCAACAACCAGGGTACACTAGCACAAATTGTGACTTCCTAGACTTGGGCAGAAAAAGGTTTCTGTTACATTTCCTAGGATATCAAACTGGGGGAGTGAGGACTAGTGAATGGAGGGTGGGACTTCAGAAACACACCCAATAGGGCACCCAGCAACCTCCCCATCTTACCCATGGGGAAATTGAGGCACAGAGCACGGAAAGGATTTGCTCCAGGCCACACAGCCCGTTTTTGGCAGATCCATGAAGTGAACTTGGGGCTTCTGACCCACAGCTGAGTTTCTACCATCCAGGTCTCAGTTCATGCTGTTTCTGCTGCATTGGAACAGTACCTCCTGCCCTGGCTCCTGCCGCCTATCACCTGGGGATCAGGTTTCACCTTCTTCAGGAAGTCTTCTCCATTTTGCCCTCCCAAGTCTGCACTGTAAATGTCCATCATGTCCCCAGGTTCTGTGGCTCCTCCGTCACTACTGCCCACACTGAATGCGTCGTCTCTTCCATTAGACTGTGAGCTCTGTGTGGGTAGGCATATGTCTAATTGCCATTTTAAACCCACCATCTAATACCTGGTGTAGTCAATATTTATTGAATAGGTAACTGGATGAGGGGAAGGGTAGATGGATGGAAGCATGAATGAAAAAAAATCAGTGAATAAATTCTAGATCCTTTACCCAATGCAATACTTTAATCTCACCCTTCAAGGAGGTAATGCAGTCATTTCTCATTTCCTCTTTTATGGACAAGGGAAATGGCAGAAAGAAAATTCATCTACAGTTCCAGTGGGTTTTCTCCACTGAGCATGTTTGTGCATTATCTCATTCAGTCAATGAACATTTACTGAGCACCTCCTGAGATATGCCAGGCCCTGAACTAGATCCCTGGTTGCTGACTCAGTCCAAGCATCAGTAATCCTGCACATTTCACTCAGCAATTACCCCTGTTCAGTCCTGTGCCAAGCACTGCAGGAGTATACAGCCTAGGCAAAGCTCTATAGGAAAATCTAACTAGAAATCTCACCATCCAGGAAATGGGGACTAGTGCATGGTAGGTAAGAACATGGGCTTGAGAGATAGAGATTGACAGAGAGCCTGAAGTTCATATCCGAGCCTTGCCATTTCCTGTTTGTGTGGCTTTGGGCAAGTTAACCAATATCCCCGTGCCTCAGTTTTCTTATCTGCAAAATAGGGATAATAATAATTCCTACCTACAGGTACCTCATAGGTACCTCGCAGGTACATGTAAGATAATTCATATAAAGTGTTAAAATGGTGCTTTAGTGAGCATGCAATAAATGCTGGTCATCTTCTTTTTCATTACTGTTATTACTGGAAGTGTCTATCTTAGACAGGGCCCTTGCACTGAGAACGTGCCTGGCATACAGTAAATCCTCTCTAACATGTAAGGGAAGAAGGAAGCAAGCAAGCCTCCAGGGCTGAGGCACCTTGACATTGTGAAATGAAAATAGACTTTTCACAGAGACCTGATTACAAAGACTTTCTGTAAAGATGCAGGTGCAAAAGTCAGTACATAAGTTGCAAAGACATGGAAATAGCAAAAAAATACATTAGGAGGGTAGGGAAGAAAAGATGGGAATGGTGATGGAGAAGAATGAAATCCTCAGCCATCATAGGAGAAAAAATATGATTTAAGGTGGTTAAGTCAAGAAATATAAGGCTTAGCAGTTTATTTAGAACTATCGAGGTAACTGCCACAAGAAACAGTTAAAGGAATCGGAAGTGCTTCTCTTGGGAAGTAGACTTCAGGCTTCTCTTGGGAAGTGGGATGGGGAGAACTATTTCCATTTTAAGTATGTGTAGGTATTATTTTGCTAAAAATTTTTGAGGAGAGGAAGCAAAGATGGAGTAAAGGAAGGAAGATAGGAGGTAGGGAGGAAGAGGGGAGAGGGAGCAAGAGAAAGAAGGGAAAAGAGGGAAAGAAGAAAGCCAGGCCTTTGAGTCAGTGTGTCCTCTGAAGTCCCACCATCCCTTCGAACCTTGATTTGCCTCATCTGTTACATGGAGCTGTCCTGCTTGTCGTAACAATGAGATGAGTTGTGAACTGAGTGTAAATACTAGTAGGAGAAGTCTGACTGAGGGTCTGGAGCATCCGGGATGGGTTAGGAGGTGTGGGCTATACCTGGGTCAAAGAAGATGATGGCTTTGAGGCAGGCATACTCATTGTCATCGATCTGCAGCTCCTGGAAGGGCAGCACCAGCTCATCGAGGATGCGCATGGACACCCGGCTCATCTCCGCCAGCTCCGGGCAATGCCGAGGGACGATGTAGTCATTGCCTGGGTGGGTTGGGAGGGAGAGAGGAGGGGGCAGTCACCGTGGATTGACCCTTCTCCTTCAGCTTTGGCTCTGTGCTTGGCAAAGCAGCTGGTGCCCCTGGGAGGAAACCAGCAGGGGTTGTCACACCCATTTTACAGATGAGGAAGCTGAGGCCCAGATTAAGAGAGTGAGTTGCCTGAAGTCATCAGGCTGAGCATGAAACTTGGCATCTAGAACCCCTTTCACATCACCCAAGTTCCATTAACCAACATGACTCATAAGATCGATGACATTTGAGGGCCACTTGGGAGGCACTAAAGCATGAAGATTAAGGGACCAGATTTGGGAGCTGGAGTGCCTGGGTTGAGAGGCTGTCACTTATAGCTGGGTAGACTTGGTTACGTTGCCTAAGCTCTCTATGCCTGTTTTCTCATCTATAAAACGGGGATAAATAACGGAGCTTCCCTCAGAGGTGTGTCATATTAAAAGATGTAACGTTCATGAAGTAATTAGCATAGTTGCTGGCACACAGTGTGTGTTACATAAGCATTTAAATAATAAATATGTCATGAAGGCACAGGTGACATGGGCTGGGGGTTTGTGTCATTCCTGGCCATCTCTTGCTCCTACTCCAGAAAGAACATCAGAATGCATGAATTATTCCAGGCATAACCCTGATTGTGCTCCAACTTTAATGCTGGGGTAATTTTATTCCTTGTATTGGAGTGGGGTATTCAGTCGAGAGGCGAGTCCTGGAGTCTTCCATTTGCAAGCCTGAGGACAGGGCTATTCTTGGTCTGTCTGCCTCGCTCCTGCATGCCAAGGGAATGTCCCTTGCTGGGTGCATGTCGTGCTGGGCACACCCTCCTCACCTAGGAGCAGCACGTCCTTGAACACCATGGATCGCTTGGTGGCTCCGAGCTGCAAGCCTGAGGACAGGGCTATTCTTGGTCTGTCTGCCTCGCTCCTGCATGCCAAGGGAATCTCCCTTGCTGGGTGCATGTCGTGCTGGGCACACCCTCCTCACCTAGGAGCAGCACGTCCTTGAACACCATGGATCGCTTGGTGGCTCCGAGGAGCAGGTGCTCGCCAGCGTGGGCTCTGAGCAGGGCCACCTGGAAGAGAGAAGGGATGGTATCTGGCGTCTGCACCCCTGGGAAGGCTGCTCCCAGCCAACTCAATGATCCTGGACAAGTCGGCTTAATGTTCCCCTCTGTCTTTACCTGCCAGAACTATAAAATGGGCATCATAAAACTGCCGCCTTCCTCCCACAACTGATAAAACTAGGGGCCTGGAAAGGATTCAGCAGAAACTCGGAAGGGGAAAGAACATGGACTCAGAGCTGGGAGACCTCATGCTGATGTGCCCTTGAACTGCTGTGTCCTCGAGCAAGTATCTGCTCCCTGTGGACCTCCTCTGTGTGCCTGGTGAAACTGAATGACAGTCTGTGTATATTTTTTTGAGCAGAGGCTCAAAGGCTTTCCTCAGATTCCCAAAAAGTTCTAAAACTGTAGGTCACAAATCCTACCCATGGGCCAGCTACAGAGAATTATGAAGGATGCTTTATAAAAAAGCAAATTCTGAGTCTTTACTACCAGAGATTCTGATTCTTTATGTATGTGGTGGGCCCAGGGTTCTGCATTTAATAGTCTCCCCAGTTGATTCTGATGTGTAGTTGTGTTTGGGAAATCATTGGTCTGGAAGGTCTCAAGGGCATCTGCCCACTTGACATTGTAAGGTTCTAGGATTCTGACAAAGCGTTCTAAGAACTTGGATGTGGATGTTGGTGCTCAGGGCTGGCCCTTCCCAAGACAAAGCTGTGGTCTGGAAGGTCTCAAGGGCATCTGCCCACTTGACATTGTAAGGTTCTAGGATTCTGACAGAGCGTTCTAAGAACTTGGATGTGGATGTTGGTGCTCAGGGCTGGCCCTTCCCAAGACAAAGCTCTGAGCACTGGTCCCTGGCAAACAATCAGCTTGGCAGACCCCTTCCCCGAAGGGAAGACAGGCAGCCTTTGGAGACTGAAGTCCAAAGCAGGGGCCCAGCTAGCTCACAGGAGGACATCACCCGCCCTCCCTTTCAGAGCCATCTGCTTTAGTCCTTGCATGAGGACCAAAAGATGGGCTGGTAAAAACATTAGCAGGCTGGTAGCCTCAAGGATCTTATCTGCAAGGTTGGGATAGGGAGTTTGGAGGTTCTATAGTAAGCCAGCCTAGAAAGTTAAAATGTTTTTTTTCATTCACTCATTGATTGTTTATTCTTTCAGTTATCAAATGTTAAATGCCTACCAGTGCTAGACAGTTTTTTAAACAATGGGGATACAAGGGTGAAAAAGAGACACAAGGTCTCTAGCCCCAGAGAGCTCCCATTTTACAGGGGGAGGTGAAACAGAAAATAAAGTGGAGAACAAGTAAGTAAGTAGGACAGAGGGGGACAGTGCTAAAAAGGTAGAAAAGAAGAAAACAAGGAAGGAAAAGAAAGAAAGAAAGAGGGAGAAGAGGGGGGATAGTGAGGAAAGAAGGAAAGTTGGAAGGGAGGGGGAAGGTGAGGGCTGTGTGGTAAAGAGCAAGTGGGCAAGAGAGTCTGCATTAGTGGGGAGGTCAGAGAGGGTCTCTCTAAGGAGGTGAAACTGGTGGAAGTCATGGAAGATACCTGGCACATAGTCAGCATTCAGTAAGTATTCGAATGAATGAGGGATAGAAAGGGTAACGAATGAATAAATGAATGAATGAGCAAACATCTTGACTTCCTCTCCAGATCCAGTCCTTCCTGGGCAGTCACCTGTCCTTTCCCTTTCTATTCTGCCATGATTAGAACCTTGTGAAGAAGAGAGAAAAAGGGAAATGGGAAACAGCCTTGGAGGTGAGAATCCACTCTCCATGACAAGCACAAAGGGCGGCAAAGGCTGCTTATTATTGAGCGCCTCCTATGTGCCAGGCACTGTGCAGGGCATGCGCCAGTCACCCCGGAGGCTCTCCAACTGCAAGCCAGAAGATCTGGATTTGAATCCCAGCTCTGTGGCTAACTTGCTCTGGAAGTTTAGGCCAATTGCTTTCTCTTTTTAGGCCTCAATCCCGTTATCCAATGGTACCCAGCCTTCTAGGTCTCAAAGGATTGATGTCCAAAACACATCGAGCAGCAAACAAACTTAGGAGCTGGTTTCTGGGGCAGTGTTGACAGAATTGGGGTGTCCTTTGGAGGACCATGCCCCCCAACTCTCCCAGGTGTGCCCCACCTGAGTTGGGCAAGATGGGCTCTTTATATACCATGGATGGGGAGCTGGGAACCCTCCTGGTCTCAGGTTCAATCCCCTGACATGGTGGCTGTTTTTGGGGGTGGGCAGGCAGGTGGTGGGGGGGTGTTAATGATTGTCCCTTGTTATTGGCCACCCATCACTGCTTTCTGAGAATGCTCTGAGCCCCAGCCAGGGAGGTTTGGGTGGGAAATCGAGGTTAACAATTGCTCAGCTTGGGGGTATCTTGTTGCCCTGCTAAGTACCTGGGAAGGAACAGAAGGGATTAAACATTAATGTAGACTCTCCAGCAGAGGGGACCGGGGCCAGAGCAGGAGGAGCAGGGGAGAAGGTAGCGGCAGCTTGGACAAGATCCCTGCCCTGTCAACTCTTCTCAAGGGAGGAGAAATCCAGCCCCTGTGTGAAGCTGAGGACCAGCCAATCCAGTGTTTTCTCAGAGTGTCCCACTGTGCGATATTAACAGTTGTTCCAGGAGAGTCTGGGGGCCGAAGGGGTTGGAAAGCCCTGGTTTCCACAAAGTTAAACAGCTGCCTGGACAGCAAGACTTCTCAGATTTAAAAGACTGGCATGCACTGTTTGTCTCTTGTGTGCAAATGTGCAAGACAGGTAGGCAAATGTTCCAGGGGCTTCCCCCAAAGCTGGAAAGGTGGCCCAGTCCAACTCCCCTTTCCCAGACAGGGAAAATGTGGGGGCCGAGGGGGTGCTCTGGGCAGTGGCTGTCATATGTGGCATCTCAGAAACTCATCTATCCTCAGACACATACGACCCTCCCCCAGCTCATCCCCCCATCCCCGGGAAATTTTCAGATTCCAAAGAATGTACTTTGGGAAATAAAATTCTGAGTTAAACCGTCTTGATGGGATACAGGGAAGACACTAAGGTTTAGGGAGGCCAGCTGTGGTCTAGCAACTGCTCCATTACGTGATTTTGCACTTTGCAAACAGAAATGTCCTCAATCCTCCCAACTACACTCTGAAATAGATATTATAATTCCCTTTTTATAAATTAAAAAACTGAGGCTGAGAGAGAGGAAATAATTTGTCCAGGTTCACCCAGGGAACAAGTCTTAGAGCCAGAACTGAAGCCAAAATTTCCTGACCTCTGGTACTGGGTCCCTGTCAACATTTCCCCAGGAGAGCTGCATGGTGCAGTGGTTAGGAGCCTGGACTTTAGAGCTTCCCTGCCTGGTTCTAATCCCAGCTGTGCTGGATACAAGCTGTGTGACCTTGAGCAAGCTACTTAACCTCTCTGTCCTCCACTTTCCTCACCTATGAGATGGTAATAATAACAGTACCTATGTCATATGGTCATGGAGGGATTAAATGAGTTAATATTTGTACAGTGATTTAAACAATTCTGGGCACACATGAGCACTATTCGAGTTTTGTTAAATAAAATCAAAGAAGTCCAAGGCTATAGGCCAGGTGGCTGCGCAGAGTCCACCACTGCTGCAGTCCATGTCCGCCCTCACCTGGTCGTCCAGGGGGAGCTCGCAGAAAGCCGGGATGTACTTGGCCCACTCGACGAGCACCAGCAGCTGCTCCTTCATGGACTCGCACACGTCTGTGATGCTGGCAATCTTCTTTGCACGAATGTCACCATTGATCCCAGAGACAGGAGAGGTGATCTGCAGGAGAAGAAGGAAAATGCTGGGGATGGCTGGGCCCCCCACTTCACTTTCTGTCCTCTGCACAGAGTCCCCTCCCTAGAAAGTTCCCTTGTATGAAATGGGGGGGGGGCGGTGTGCTGGACTGTGGGTACCTTCCAGCTCTGAAGTAAGCACAGTGGAAATGGGCAGAAGGGAGGAGGCACATGTGAGGGAGAAGGGCCCCCTCTGGGCCTTCGCCTGCCACATGTCCCCTGCCTCCTCCTCTGCCAGCTTCTCAAAGCCCCAGGGAATCTCTCAGCTCTTGAGGAGAAGCACGGCAAAAATCATCATCCTCATCTGATAGAGGAAGCAATCACGACCCAGAGAGATGATGTGACTTGCCCAAGGTCACACAGGAGGGGGCTGTCAGAGCCCCAGTTTGCCACCTGTGTCCACTGGTCCACTGCTCTGTTCCCTCAGGGCTACGCTGATCTCAGGCCTTCAGTGAGAGCAAAGACTGTTCTTGACCTGCGGAATGCAGGCAGCAGGATGAACTAGAAGGTGCCCCAGAGCACCAGACCTGGGTTCGAGTTCTGTCTTTGCTGCTAAATCGACTGTGTGGCACTGGACTCAGTTTCCCTTCTGTGGTATCCGAGGCCCCTTCCATATGCTACTCCAGGGCCTGGCTGGGGAAGACAGAGGTGGAGGAAGTATTGGGGGGTCCTCAGGTGGGTGGGAGGGTCACCCGGTACCTGCTGGGATAGGACTTCTGCCTGCAGGAGCGCATTGATGGAGGGCAGGCTGCTGTCCTCGTAGCTTGACCTTCGAGTGCTGATCCGGTCCCGTTCATTTTGGACAGCTGTGAGGAGGCAGGGGGAGGTGAGGAGGAGGCAGGGATAAGTGGGGGTGGGGATGGGGGTCCCATGACTGATGAGGGAGGGGTGAGGCGCAAGAGGAGAGAGTTCAACCCAGAAAGAGATATTGCTGCAGGGCGGTTCCTGGGTGAAGGACACACAGTTGGGAATGGGAATAGGCGGAAGGTGTCCAGGGGACAGAGCCCAGATCAGCACATGGGAACAAGGGGAGATGCATTGTAATTTAGCATGTGGAAGCACTTTCCCAACACCAGAATGGCCCCCCACACAAGCAGCCAGCTGCAGGAATGATCTGCCCATCACCAGGGGAGTTTAAGGCAGTGATGACTTGATGGGTCTTGAGCTTTGAAGATTACAGAGTTTCAAGCTCTGTTTTAGAAAAGGGTTGCTTTCTTTTCAAGTGAAAGTGGATAAAACAAGCGAAGTGAAGTTTCTCTCTCCTGCCTGCTCCCTGCGCTCTTTCCCATCTCAGGAGCTGGCAGGCTGATTCTTCCAGTCCCTCAGGCCAAAAGCCTCGGGTCTTCCTAATCTTCTCTTTCACGCCCCATGTGCTCTCAGTAATCCTTGCAAAGCAGACACAGCTCCCACCTGCTCAGGGCCCCACGGTCCTCCCCGGGGTTAGCACAGGCCTCCTCACGGGTCTCCTTGCTTCTGGCTTTTCCCCTCTGTCTGTGCTCCTCTCAGAAGACAGAGGTACTGGTTCAAACACACCTGGACACCCTCCTGCATCAACCTGCCTGACGGGGCATTCCTCATGCATGCTCTGCCCCTTCACCCGGCTTTATTTTTCTTCAAGGCATTTGCTGTAGAATTACTTGTTAATTTCATTACTATTTATCTCTCTGTAAGAAAGAAAGCTCTAGAAAGCCAGAACTTTGTCCCTCTTGTTTACTGCTGTAGTCTCGGCGACTAGAACAGAGCCTGGCACACAGTAGGTGCTCAATAAATATTGGCTGAGTGAGTGAAAGAAGGTTTGGGATGAGAAAGACACTAATTCTTTTTTTTTAGACAGACTCTAATTTTTTACAAGCACCCTATTTCTTTATGAGACATTGACATCCCAGCTATTAGACTTTCTCTCTTTTATTTTTTTTATTGGCTATGTAGACTTTCTCTTGATTTCACACATTGCTGAAATCAGAGAATGAAATTGGCAAAGGGCCACAAAAAATGACTGTATTGTGTAATGTTGACTATACTAATTATCCTGATTTGAGCATCACATACTGTACACAGGTATTGATATTTAACGCTGTACCCCACTGATATGCAATCAGTTATGTTCCAGTAAAAAATAAATAAATAAAATAAGGACAAGACAGAAAAAAAATAGAAAGTCCGATAGTCTGAACTGAGCCCAGTAGTCAGTGGGGTATAATAGAGGTAAGAAATCTCCCTTCACAGACCCCATCTTGGACAAGGGCAGCCCGGAGCACACTCCCCTGCTCCAGGTGACACTCGGCCCCTCCCGCCAACACCCCTCCCACGGCAGCCCGGCCTGGCAGCCGCCCGCACCCACCAGGGCGCCGAGTGGCCCTGGCGGGTGGAATGAAAGGGCTGCTGTAAGCAGCTGCGGATAGGGCTCCTCAAGGTTAGGCCGGTGTTATCAGTGCCCGGCGCGAGCTCAGTCACGGAATGATGTTTTCCAAATGTTTGCCTAGTATTAGCAGGGTCGGGGACCTAATGTAACTTCTATTGAATATTAACTGACCGGGGCAGAGACAGAGAGCAGATGAGCCTGTCTTCCCAGAGAACCACTGGGTAGGGGTCCCTGGGGGGCTGGGGCAGGACTTCTGAGGAAGATCCATCAGATGGCCCCTGGCCCATCACCAACTCACACCTCCTGTTACCCCTACTTTCTGGGCTGGGTTTCTGATGCCAGGAACTGGATGTTTGTCCTAGGCTGGACAGCTGAAGCCCAGATAGGTGTCTGTCTCCCTGTCGTTGGGGTATAGAACAGAATTGTCAGCTCACTGTTGGCCCATTGACCCCCGGGTTTCTCCCCAGAATCTTTGTCCCTCCAGGGAACCCCCTTCCAGCCACTATGGAATATCCTCTTGCAAAGATTTACAGGCCTATGAGCGCTGAAGCCTTTCCCTGAGGTGGAGAGGAAGTTTCAGGAATCTAGATCAAAGAATATACCTCCCAAGCCGCTCACTACAAGTTTTAATCCAGGGAGCTTGGAGTCTGCTCAGCTTTGGGGGGCTTGAGTTCCGGTCCTGACTCCACCCCAACCCATCACATCATCTTTCTGGCCTCAGTTTCCTTATCTGTAAAGTGGGAAGGGGTAGATCTGATGACCTCTTTTAGACCCAGCTTGTCTATAAATCCCGCATTTCTAGCTCATGCTTTCCAGTCCTTAAGGGAGTATTTTTGGGTTTCAGTCCCCAAATCCTCCTAAAACCATCAAGGAAAAAAAAAAAGAACAACAAGGGAGTATTTTTGGGTTTCAGTCCCCAAATCCTCCTAAAACCATCAAGGAAAAAAAAAAAAAGAACAACAAAAAAAAAACTTGTACCGAATCTCCTGATCAGTGAGGCTTCCACCGATGGTTTCTCTTGGCTTTGGGAACTTCCCACCTAGGCTGAGGAGGGGTGTTGGGGGCTGGAAGGCTTAGGTAGAGCTAGTAATACCCTAACTTCCCAGGGCTTGACTACAGTGACAACTGAACACTCTGCTTCCATGGCCCGTTCTCAAAGTGACCAAGTGACTGCATGTGTCATGATCTTCTGTCACAATGGTGCATGTAAATAAGCACCAGTGTTTACTAGCTCACACTCACTGGCCACCGGCCAGCTCGCCTATCCTCCTGGAAGAGTGCCAGTTTTCCTGGGCTGGGAGCAAGTGGCTATTTTCACAATAGCCTGGGGCCCTCACTCCTTTTCCAGGAGTCAAGATGTGGGGCCTGCTGCCTCTGTGGCAGCTCAGTTGAGGACAAGGGGACAAACACACATATCCTGGGGGGTCGGTGAGTATATAGCTAGACTCATAGACATCATTGTCCAACCCCTCATTTTATAGATGGGAAAACTAGAGCCCAGAAGGGGTGGAAACTTCCCTAAAGTTACACAGGTGAAAATGACTCTGGATGTTTAATAAGACATATATACATAGATATAAAGACTGACCACATGCAGGATCAGGCCACATGTAGCATAGGTAGGTAGCCACCTGCTCAGATGGACTGCCAACCCCTCTCCCATCTGCCTGTCACACGGCCTGAAATTTCAACATGAGAGATTCATTCTCTCAAACACAGTGCCCTCTGGACAATCATAGTGCCTAAAATATTAGGCAATCGGAATAACAGAATCAGTGACTATTAGAACCATAGAAGTTCGACCCTTAGACTGTAGGTCTCTATCTTCTTGTCTCCAATTTTTCATACATGCACCACACTTCTCACTCATAGCATTTCTCGTTGCACAAAGTGGTTCTGAACTTGAGGTAAGAGTGGGGAAGAGAGGCTCAACCCCATGGAAAATGGGGGTGAGGTGGGGCGGGGAGGCAGAGGCATGTGAAGTTTGAAAAAGCTCCTCCTCCACTTGGAGAACCCCTGAGGTCTGGATGTTAGTATTGTGGTGTTTAGACCAGGAGGGGGCCCTGGAGTCCACCCACTCGTTCATCAGGATCAGCACGCCCAGACTCCCCAACTGAACTCATGAGCTCAAACCGAGGCCCTGCAGGGATAAGGCACAGAAGATATTTCCAAGGGAGGAGGCAGAGATGGGATGGGGAAGAGGAGGCCGCCCAAGCTTTGCTTCCCCTCCTGCTCAGTTGGCCAGGGCAGGCTGAGTACCTGGTTCCTGCTTCTGGGGTGGGGTGGGGTGGGGTGTGTGTGTGTGTTTGTATAGGACTAGACCAAGGGTTTGGCTGGTATGGCACAACTGTGTGCTAGAAACGAAGCTGGGAAAGGTGAGTTGAGGGGAGAAGGAAACAGAGAGATTTGAAAATAAACTCAAGTTATTTTAAAAAGTAGTGAAAAGAGTTTTGCTTCCTGGGCTTGGGCTAAAAACAATTTTACATGTTCCTGGGGTATGGAGGACATAAAGTAGGCAGCATCAAGGTGTTGCCCAAACAGCATGAAGCTCTGGGTTCAAACCTCAGACCTTCCAATGACCAGCTGCGGGGCCTTAGGCAAGCTGCTTAACCATTGTGGGCCTCAGTTTCCTCATCTATGGAAAAGGGGTACAGTAACAGTCCCAGCCACGTAGGGTTGTCACAGAATGAAACGAGCTATCCAATGTGGAGAAAGCCCAGCTCCGGTCTTCCCAGACTCCTCCATCCAGGACCAGTCTGATACTTCGTTCCCACTTCCAAGAACTGAAAACTTGGGAGGTCACTTGATACCCAAGAATGAAGACTAAGAGAATCGGGGTGCTTGTCCCTGGGACAGGAGCTCAGAAATAGAGCTCCCCCCTGCTGTTCACATTCATGAAGTCTGGTAGGTGGGTATTTGGATGTTAGTAATGTCATTCTGTATGCTTTTCCTAACGTTCGAAATATTATACTAACAAAAAGCACCCCACTTGGCTGCAGGCAGACAGGGGTGGTTGCTGGGTGCCCCAAGAGCTGAGAGTGGGAACTTATCTCTTTGAATCTTTCTCAAGACCAAGCCCAGCCGCTCCCTATGGTCAGATTTACAGGTCCTCCCTCCTCTCAGCCATTAGCCAGTCAGCCTGGGGCTTGTCACCGAGTCATAAAGTGTGGCTACAGTTGTAAATGACTGTCCGGGAGCTGCAGGTGTGGGTGGGGCGGTGGGGCGGTGGGGGAGGGCGGGGGCTCACCTTCCTTCTTCATGCCAGCCCGGAAGCACTTCTTGAGCCTGCAGTAGCGGCACTGGTTCCTCTTGTCTTTGTCCACCACGCACTGCCGGCTAAATCTGGGGAGGCTTTGGATGGTTGGATGGAGAAGAAACAACCTTCCCCTCTTAGAACGCCACTAGGACCCTGGCCATCTGGTTGACCTCCAGCCTCCTTGCTGTATCCCTTCAGCTGCCGGCTAAATCTGGGGAGGCTTTGGATGGTTGGATGGAGAAGAAACAACCTTCCCCTCTCAGAACGCCACTAGGACCCTGGCCATCTGGTTGACCTCCAGCCTCCTTGCTGTATCCCTTCACCCCAGAAGTTCCCCTGCTGACCAACCAGGCACTGGAGAGGTCCTAGGGACTCTTGAAAAGTCGAATACTGTCCCGCTAAGCAAAGGGAAACGGCGGCTCAAAGAGGCGACATGTGGACATGGGTCACTCAGCTGGTCGGTGGTAGAGCTGAGTTGGGAACCTTAGCCTCTTGAGAACCAGAGCACTGCTATTTCCACTACATCCAATAAAAGCCCAGAGCCCACAGCAGCCTCCTGGTTGAGGCTTAGCATCAACACTTGGTCCACCTAAGCCTTTCTCTGGAGGAGGACATAAGGTAGAGGCAGTGCTGCACAGTGGTTATGGGTGAGGCCCTGAAAGTCAGCCCTGGCTCTGCCATTGATTCAAGCTGGGTGACCTTGGGCAAATACCTAGCCCTCCAAGCCACAGCTTCCTCATCTAGAAAATGGGAATAATAATAGTAGCCATCCTCAGAGTGGTGATGACAGGTATAACGAGACAATACACGGATGAGGCTTGGCATGGTATCTGCACATGGCAAGTGCTCACAACTGATAGCTGCTATGATTTTCTTATTGTTGTTAACCAGAATGGGAGATGCTTTTGAAAGAGGGATCTCCAAGGCCTTGGGAAGCCCTTGAGGTAGGTGGAAGAGCCTGGGGTCAATTCCCTAATTGTCCCAGAGAAAGCACCAGGTTGGAGGATGGACCCATGCTTTGCAGCTTAAGAGGAGGCTTGACCTTCAGCCTCATGGATCCTTATTTGCTGACTGAGAAAGGTAAGAATGGGATCATGGGAATGGTTAAATACATGCAAAGACTTAATATGGTACCAGGCATATGGTAAGTGCTCAATAAAGAGCATCCAATAGCTTTACAATCAGCAAATGGGGTTCCTAGAATAGATGTTCCCTCCTGAATCTGCAAGGCTTAAGAAACTAGAGAACCTTGACAGCCTTGAAGGGCAGATGCCTCTGGAACCTATTCAGGGAGAAGACAGACCCTGGAGGCATGAGCCCAAGTGCACCCATCTACCAGCTGGAGAGATCGCGGCCCAAGAAGGACACCTCACCTGCAGGAGTACATGTGGTTCTTCCTCACGCTCCTCCGGAAGAAGCCCTTGCAGCCGTCACAGCTTGAGGCACCATAGTGTTTGCCCGTGGCCCGGTCCCCACAGATGGCACACAGGGCGCTGACACCCAAGCTGTTGGGCGCGTTGAGGTTGGCGCCTTCTGACGGGGACGTGTCTGCACCAGAAGAGAAGGGAGTGGGAAGTCGGAAGCCAACGGGAGCCGTGTGGGGATCTTTCCAGGGCTTCAGCCTCAGCCAGACTTGGGGGCTATTCTGCTCCATCACCTCCTCCGTCACCTGCTCAGTGACTTTGAGCAAGTCACTTGGACTTTTGGAACCTCAGTTTTGCATCAATAAATTGGGGATGGTTGTGACTCTGACTTCACAGAGTCGTTTGAAGTTCTGCTTCTCCCCATGGTGGAGGCTACTAGTCCTGGCCTCCTCTCGGAAGGAAGGAAACCTGACTCCTCCTAGGGTACATATGACCCTTATAGACTCCTAATTGGGCAGAGGGGGCCATGGAGGGGACAAATACTCCCCCAGCTTCTCCCAGAACCAGGTCCCTCATTTCACTCTGAGTGACCAGGGCTGGGCAGATCTCACCTTGCTGCCCAGGACCCTGCAGACTCTCCTGGGAGCGGGGAAGACATGCACCAAGAACATGCACTCATTTGTCCTCCTAGAATGGTCCTGGTGAAGGGCTGGGCCCTTCGAATGCCTCCTGTCCTGGAGGCAAAAGCTACTGCATCTACATAAATGCGAGGAGAGGGATAGGAGGCAGGTGGCAAAGGGGATCTGAATTGGGTGCTAGGAGTCTGGGCCCTCATGCAGATGCCACCACTAACTTGACTGTGACTTCCGGGCAAATTCCCTTTCCTTGCTTCAATTTCTCCTGGGCCTCAGTCTCCCCAAAAAGTGAGTAGTTCAACTGGTCCAGTTGTTTTCAAGTTTTTAAAAATTTCAGTAGCTCTCTTTTTTGTAAGCGTATCTTCCACCAAGAATAGACCCTTTGGAGAATATGATAAACGCTGTGGACCATCCCCCAGAAAAATGCACGTGTGTGCACACCACACAGAATGCACACACACACACACACACACACACACACACATGTTTTCATAGAAACCCTGAATCTGACCTTATATTCCTAAGGGGACATCCAGTTCAGAACTGGAGAGGCCATAGCGCTAGAGTTAAGAGCAGACTCTGAGGGCTAGCTGGTTAGCTCAGTTGGTTAGAGCACCACATTATAACACCAAGGTCAAGGGTTGGGATTCCCCTACTGGCCAGCTGTCCCCCCTTCCCCACCCCCATCCCAGAAGAGCACAAACCCTGAAGCCCTTCTGCCCGGGTTGAAATCCCAGCTTGCCCGTTTCTCAGCCAAGTGCCTCTCGGGGTGTGCTAGTTCCCTCCTCCGCGCCTGTGTTTTCTCACTTGTAAAATGCAGAGCCTAGGAATCCCCTCACACCGTTATGCAGACTCAGGGAATCAGTATATGGGAAGAGCTCGGCACACAGTAAGCACCGCATCAGTGTTTGTGAGATAAAGATATTCTGCAGGAGGAAACTTGGAGCAGGGGCTTCCAACCTCCACACACAAGTGGACACTGCTGCATCTCATTTCTGCCATCACCTGGCTGCACATCTCCTGAGGCTCCCAAGTGTGCCCAGGAGTGCAGCCCCCTCTACTTGGTAAATTATTCCTGGAGACGGGGATAATTGTTAAGCAGCGTTGGTGCCCTTTCTCCCTCTGCCTCTCCTCCCCCGACCATTGGAGAGACCTGACCCCACAACTCCCAGCCATTCGGGAGAGGCTGCGGAAGGAGATCCCACCTCCTGGGAGGATGGGCTGGGAGCTGTCAGGTATCATCTCCTCCCTGAGGTCAGCCCACCACCCCATTGTCCAGGTGAGGACACAGGCTCAGAGAGGATAAGTGACTTGCCCAATGTCATAACGCTGCTGTTAAGTGGAGGGGCTGGATTTGTAGCCCAGGTGTGCTGGACTACTCCGGCCAGTGCTACACTTGTTGGGGTGTCTGCTGGGGCCTCTAATAAACAAGGACCCCTTGCTGCAGCTGTTCCTGAATTGGGGGTGGGGGAGAGATTCCTTGGAATCTCCTTGGAGCTTTGGGGCCAACAGCCCAGATGTCTGCAAAACACTTTGGGGGACAACCTCACATACCCCTAACTCTCAGACCACTTAAAAACTCCAGTGGGGAACACAGACCCTTCTTACAGATGCTCAGAGTCCTTGAGACAGCCCATGTGGGGGCCAGGATTGGTTACCAGGGTGCAGCACTCAGGCACCTTATCTTATTTATCCTCTGGTTAGCCCTGGGAGGCAGCACTATTATTTATCCCCATTTTACAGATAAGCAAACTGAGGATCAGAGAGGAAAATGTCTTGCCGTGTTCCCACAGTTAGAAAGATCCATGCCAGATTTGAGCCCCAGTCTTTCTGGCCCCAGAGCTGCAAGCTGTCTGGTCTTTGGGACACCCGGCTGAGGGGACTGGCCTCTGCCTCAGGAGCACACAATTCCGGGCTCTGAAGGGGTGATGGGGCTGGCCCCAGGAGCAGCCTGGGCTGGATGGTGGCCAGGGGTGCGGCAGCACATTCTGTCCCTGTGGGGTCACACGACAACCTGCCTAGTGCAACAGCAACACGTTTGCTATTTCCATCTTGTTTTTTTCTTGAGCCCCTCACATGGTCCTCAGACACTCCTGAAAGCCAGCTAGCCAGCAGGCCTGGGGTGATGAAGCCCATTCTGCAGAAGACACAGAGGCCAGGAGAAGGAAGGCAACGTGCCCCTGCATGGCGGGGGTGGGTGAGCACCTGCTGAGACTGAGCACGGGCAGTGCCCAGCTGCTGCCGCCTCTTTCTAACTGAACTAACCACAAGCTTTCCAGACCTCGGCCTAACACTGGCTGAGCGGCTCAGAGCCATGGAAGGAAGGCTGGTGGCAGGCTGACCTCGGCTGGCTGCCACCTCTCCTCTATGGCTGGCATGGGACCCGTTAGGGCTCTTCCCCTCCTGGAACTTCCAGGCCTCCTCCCTTCCCCCACCTTATTGTGGAGGAGAATCGACCACCCCCTACAGATATGCCCTCAGTGATGTTGGAGCGGATGCATAAATCTGGGGAGAAACACACATGGGCAACAAAATCTGCACAGAGACAAATGGATGAGCTGCGGATGTGAATCTCATTTGGCAAGTGGCAACTTCAAAAACCTGTACATCGTATCTGCACAGCAGAGTGCTGACTCCCCCCTCCCCCCGGTACAGAGGGTGTGCACACATGCACAGCAGTTTCAAACATGGGCATGCGGCAAAACGTTCATACAGGACATAAGCGCAGAAAGCACAGGGCACACGAACATAGCCACGTCTACAAACATGTGTGATCAATGACCCACATACACGTGTACAAACACCCACAGCCACATGTACACACTCACAGTCACTTACATACATAAGCAAGAGAAACACAGGCACCCCCCAAAGACACAAACAACCCACACAAATGGAAACACACAGAACACACACAAATGAACACAAATACACAAATGTATTCCTGCAGATACACCTCTGCCGATACAGCACCCCACCACACCCACACAATTACATGGAACTCATGATCACACACATGAACACATACACACATGATACACACACTGCTGAATTGACTTCTTAGTTAGCAAAACTTCCCTGAGAACTCCATTTTCTCTAAACTCCAGTTCCCCTAGGAAAGTCCCAAAGACACCCTGAAATGCAGTTATGCCTCCAACCACTGTCTCTGGGGGATGGACGTCCCTTTCCATCTCTCTGGACCTAGGCCCAAGAGGCTCGAGAATGGGCTGTGTTGGGCTGAATGACGGGAGCTGGACAACAAGAGAGAGCTCACCATCAGGTCCCTGCTCCCAGTGACACATTGAGCAGGACAGCTGTTAGGGAACAGGTACTGGAGGACCCAGGGGGAACACCTAGGATCAACTTTTGCTGGAAATTTGCTCTTACAGGCTTTCACTCACCCAGAATGCCTCTGGTTGTTGTACCTGGGCACGTCTGCCTCACCTGGCAATACCTGTGCTAGCAGATAAACCCAACCTACCATTTCCTACCGCTTGCCTCCCACCCCAAAGTTGAGCACCAAAGATCTGCTCCCGTACCTGGGCACACCTGCCCCCACTGGCACACCTGGGTGCACCTGCCCCCACCTACCATTGCCCATCGTCAACACCTGCACATTCTCAAATTCCAGAGTGGTGTAGGCTGGGTCCAGCGCAGCACTGTAGTCAGCCATGTCCATGTCGACGAGGGTTTTGGAGAGGCGCATTCTCCCCTGCCTCCACACCTCGGCCACCTGCCCTGCCCAGGATGCCCACCCTGAAGGCTCTGGGCCCTGGCCCCCGCCCTCTGCCCTCCCACTGCCTCCTCCCAGGTGCCTCCTCTGCCTTCCTTCGTTTCAAACCGTCCTCTGGGAGGACCTGCCGGGAGTCCTGGCCTAGCCTCTGCAAAGGGGTGGAGGCTCCGTTGGGGAGGGGTGGGGGTTAATGGTTAATCGGTCCCCCGCTGGTGGATAGGCTGGGTGGGGCTGCAGGGATTTGGCTGTTTGTTGGTTTCTGGCTGACACCCGGGGTGCTAATTACAACTGTTGGGGCCCAAACTCACCAGTACTCAGTTATCAGTTCTGAAGGCAGGCACTATAAGTCACTGGCAGTCACTTGACCCCTGACTCAGCCACCCCCCAAGCCATTGTCGCCCCAAATCGGGCATTCTAACTGATACGCTCAGACACCGACATCCCACCTCCAAGGTGCCCTAATTCAATAACTTCCCAAATCATTGACTTCTACCCTCAGTGCTCTTGCTGAGATAAAGCTGCTTTGTGGCCCGTGAATACAAAACCTAAATCCCAGGCCCCAGACACCGATCTTTTGGGTCCTCGTTCTGGGAGCTCCCTTTCAGTTCCCTTAAAGTTCCTCTTCTTCCCCCAGGAGCATAATGGACTGGAAGTCTGGGAGGGCCAGACTCACCTCTAGTCCCCCTCCCCTGCTCCCTATGACCCCACTATGGCCACCAACAGCCCCCACAGCTCCCAGCTGCTCTGGCCAGACAGACTCCATCTGTGATTTCCCTGTTACATTCCCCCATTTCCCTTACTTCCCACCCCCACCCAGGACAGGTGGAGCCAAGGTTTGCAGCCCCACAGACCTGGGTTTACATTCGGGCACCTAGCACCTGCTAATTGTGACTTTGGGTAAATGATTCTCCTCTCTGAGCCTCAGTTTCCTTCTCTGTAAAATGTACGATCAACCTCAAAGGGTGGTTTGAGTGGTAAATGACAGGGCATAAGTCTAGGTCCAAGTGGCGCCTGGCAAACGCCTGTTCTGTGTCCTTCTCCCTCTACCCCTCTCCGTCTCTCTTGTTTCTCTCCACCACCCCACCCCTCCGGCAGGCTGCATGTACACTACCTGTGCAGTCGCGCAGAGCCCCACTTAGAAAGTCCCTTGCTTGGTTTAATACTCTGCTTTTACCATCTTGAAATTCTTCATGATTCTGGAACATTTTCATTTTGAACTGAGACCCCCAAATTATGCAGCTGGTCCTGTCTGTCTTTGGCTCCTGGCTCGCCCTCTTTTTCTCACCTCACCTCCACCCCCCAGCCCTCATTGCCTTCTGTGCAGATGCTTTCGAGGGCTCCCATCTAGCTGGGGACGTAAAGTCACAATGCAGAAGGTAGAGAGCGAGGGCACAGGTAGCAGGGCCTGAGACTTCGGAGGCCTAGGAGCCCGTCCTCCTCTGCTGGCTGGCAGGGCAGTTTGGAGGGACATCCGTGAGCAAGAGAGGGTGAATTAGGGAGACAGCCAATGAATGAGTGGGTGGGTGGGAGAATTAGGAGTGAGTCGAGTAGAGACAGGGTGAATTCATGTGTGAGTTGAGTGAATGAGTGAGTTAGTGAAAGAGTGAATTAATGAGTAAGTGGAGTGAATGGGTGGGTGAATTAATGAATGGGTTAACCAGGGGAGAAGGGCATGTGTGTCAAAGGGTGTGTGGAGGCATCCTCTCCGTATTCTTCCAACTATTAGAAGCCCACCCTCTGCCCTGCTTAGCTGTATTCTCCCCTTCCCATCCTACCCCTGGAGCTGAGACAAGGGGGGGCTGCTGTTTCCTGGGGGATCGAGGGGGGCAATTGTTGTGGAGGAGAAGAGAGGCTGGATTTGGTGTCAGGAGTCCTGGGTTTAGGAACTAGCTCTGTCACTATTTGGATGGCTTTGTTTAAAACACATCTCTTCTCAAGGCCTCAATTTCCCCATCTGAAAAATGAGGAGATGATCCTGGACCAGCTGTTTGTTAGTCAGGACAAGACTCTGAGGGAGGGAAGAAGAGAGATGCCCCCCAACCCACACTGTGAGATTTGATAAGGCCTGAAAGAGACTTCAAACACTGGCGGTTCCTCCCATGCCCCACCCAGGGAATATCTGATCCCAGCTCCAGTGGCCTTGGGAGCAGTGCTGAGTTGAGCAGAAAAGGGAGACATGACTAAGGGATAAACACAGAAGAGATGCAGAGAGCAGCTCTGGGAGTGGCCTCTGAGGGCTGACCCCAGGTCCCTGCCACCTGTCTGGAACCTGTGACAGGCCACTCACAGCTACTCTCCACATGATCCAGCAATACACAGCCTACAGGTACAGTGTCTCATCAACTCTAAAAGGCACACTTCCACTTTCTGAAAGTGGAATGTGATTGCTGACATGTCAGTTTAATCCTAATAAAAATAACTTCATCTTTCTATAGATGACACTTTGGAACCTGTGACAGGCCACTCACAGCTACTCTCCACATGATCCAGCAATACACAGCCTACACGTACAGTGTCTCATCAACTCTAAAAGGCACACTTCCACTTTCTGAAAGTGGAATGTGATTGCTGACATGTCAGTTTAATCCTAATAAAAATAACTGCATCTTTCTATAGATGACACTGAGATTCAATTAAATAAGGTCTGCGATCAACCTGGATCCATTATACCACACCACACACATGACCCATGACATATAAGAACTACCAGGTGAACAGCCTGCAGACGATGAGCTACTAAGTACGCAAACCACGACATACATGAGTTACCAAATGCACAACACGCACGACAGCCTATGAGGCACATTCCAGATTCACATCCCACCACACCACAACCTACCCCATAAGTAAATCTGTGCACTCTTCACCTATACATTGCACAATCTATCACACGTGTGATTCACCCCACCTTTAGTCAACTCCAAACAATACCTTCTAGATACACCTCCCTCATATAAGTGACACACCACCTATAACATCTACTGGCTCTGTGACCTCGGGCATGTTGTTATTTCTTTTTTTTTTTTTTTCATTGTTACCATATAGTTTATTTAAACCAAACTATGATAATGCAGAGAAGAGACTGAGGTGGTAGAATCTTTGTGGATTACGATGCAAAGTAGTTGGATACAACCACACTCCAGTACAGACAATCAGCTGTATAAATACAAAGAACACAAGACACAAGACAGTTCACAGCTTCTTGCTTTGCATTCCATCTTAAACACACGCATGTTACAACTTTACACTTGCAATTACTATTCCACATATTTTCTGATAATGGCTAAGGATGCAGTGATCCCATCCTCCCAACATAAGCAGACCTTGGTCTTGCACACGGAACACATAACAACCCTTAGTACATAACGTACAGAAAAATCCTTAAAAATCAGATTAACGGTGTTCCTCCCGTTATCTGAGGAAGAAAGGGAAGTGGAAAAACAAGACCTCAGGGAGCTTTAAATATATAGTACCCTGAGGTCTTAAAAGTTTCATTCTCTTTCTCCCAGGGAAAAATTTTTTAACTAATGGAGAAAAGAAAGCAACATTGCAACGCCCTACAATGAGAAAGAACAGAATCCTGACAATGCTGAGATGCTACATACAATAAACAGCAGGCAGCAGAGCAAATGCCACAGGATTGGCTTGGTTTTTATTCCTATGCTTATAAAAAAAATTAAGCTTCTTTGTGTGGACTGAATGGGCGTTAGCCTGTGGGTGTTGGTCTTCAGGGTCTGTACACCAGCAGCTGTCTACACGCCAGGAGCTTCCTGCAGCAGGCCCCATGGCCCGCTGTTTGCATGAGGCAAACTATTATTTTGAAGCCTTGGTTTCTCCTTCTGTAAAATGGACCTAACCTGTCGTTTGTTGTGAAGTTTAAGTGAGATTGTACTATAAAGTTCTTAGCTCTTCTTCCCACTAGACCCCTTTAGAGGCCACAAACCTTGAAGTCAGACAGATTTGGTTCAAAATCCAGGCACTGCCAAACTCTGTGGCCTCAGGTTCTACCTCTCCCAGCTTCAGTTTCAGTATCAGGAAAATGGGATTAATGCCTTCTTCGCAGGGATGGTGTGGGCATTAAATGACTGAGTATAGATGTACAGTGCAAGAGCAGCGATGATCATCATTGGTCACTGTCTCCTTGACCTGCTGGCCACGTAATCTGTCAGAATCAGGAGCCCTGCTCAGGAGAGCTCCCAGGCATGCATGCCCAGCCATGAGCAAGCACTGGCCTCGAGGGCATCCATTTAGCAGCCGTGCCTTATCTCTGCCCTCCTCTTGGCGTGGAGCTCTCAGGGGATAACAGAGACCTCGGAGCTCACCCGGAGGCCCAGCTCCTTTATGGTGCTACAGAAATGGAGACCTTGAGAAGGGAAGCAGGGACTTCTCTGAGCAGCCAGGGGTTGAGGGGTTGCTGCAGCCCCAGCTGGGGGCCGGCAGCTCTCATGCCTCTGCTGCAGACAGTGGTTAAGGAGCCGCCACTGCGGATCACGTCGTTTTTCTCTTAAATGATAACAATGGCTACTGTTTACAGAGATTGTGTGCTAGGCCTTGTGCTAAGAACCTTCCATCTTGTCATTTTATCTGCCCATGGAGGTAGGGACTGCTGTCACCACCACTTTATAGGTCATCAAACTGAGGATCAGAGAGGTGAAGTGACATGCCCAAGGCCACACAGACTGTAACCAGAGGGGCTGTCATTTGGAACCAAGTCTGACTCCAGAGCTTAAAGGCTTCACCCCTCTCTATGCTGCCTCGCTCCTGGAATCCTCCAAAGAACTTCAGAATTCTGGACCCTGGGGCTGGTGGTTTCACCATCTCGGTGCTGCTGAGGAGCTCGTGGATCTGAGAAGTAAAGGACACTGTCCCTGGGCACTAGCAGGTTCAGAGTCATTGTGCACACACCTGCCACCCCAGAGCTGCCTGGCTGCCCCTGGGTGCTCATCACTCCACTATCTCCTATCGTTCCTCCAACCCACCACCCGGGGAGTGGTGCAGGGAAAACCGGGACTTATCAAGACAAAGAACAAAAGTCGTGGGGGAAAGAAGCCAA